GTTTCGTTTTTCTTTAAGGAGAATAATAAAAATAATTATCCCATTAAGGAGAAATAGGGGAAAGCAAATAAAATTAATTATATAAAATAAAATTAAAACAGAGTGGTCATATTGATTTCCCGATTTTATAAAACTATTATTCACATCGAGGATAACAAGGCATTTGTAAACAAGAGTTTTATTTTTTTTTTAAATTAAAAAAATATAAATTTTTTATTATTTTGCATTTTTATATTTTTAATATATTTTTTATTATATTATTTATTTATAATAATTAATTTTTATTAATACTTTATAATTATTATATTTATAATATTTTTATAAATTATAATATTCATAATATTTTTTACTTCAAACCGTTGGATAATATTTTGAATGCCCCTCTAAAAATTATTTTTAAAATGGGTCAATTATTTAAACCGTTTTCAATTTTATTTTGAATATTTAAATTAAAAAAAATTAATTAAATAATTTAATTCCACATTTCTTCTATCCTCCTATTTTTTTAAAAGCTGAATAAAAAATTATTTATCTAATTAATAAATTTGTTTCCTATCTTAATAATTTAACTTTTAAAGATGACTTTTAAATTTAAAAATTGTATCTCCCTCTCTCGCCCCCTCCTTTTCTTTTTGTAATTAGAAAACCTAATTACATTTCAACAGTCTTTAGTTGTTGTTCATTTTTTCATTAATTAAAAATTAATTTCACCACGGAAAGGGGGGATATTTAAATCATTGAGTTTATGGACAACATGTTTAAAGAAACAAATCAAACTCTGCCCATAAAATGTTTGCCCCCTCAGGTCTATTTAGCGGGGAATACACTTTGTTGTTATTTTGTAATTTGTTATTCTAGTTGCCATTTTTTCTCACAACACATCCCTTCCGTCCCCTCCCCTACCTTTCCCTTTCCACATTTCCCTAAAGAGGTCAACGGTGAAAATGAAAGTCTGTGGTCTACTATATAGGCTGCTAGATACGGAATCTTTCATGCAAATAACAACATCATTCGCGTGCCACAAAAATAGGCCACGTACACTCGAACCATACACACACTTACAAATATCTATACAGCAGTATTGGTTGGCTTTTCCGCATCTTCATTTTTTCTCTCCAGCTTCTTCTCTCTTCTCCCCCCAACCCCTGATTTCTCTACCTCTCTTCCATCGATAACCCTTTAAACCATTCACTGACCATTCATCTCGAACACGAAAAACCCCTCCCATAGTCCATACCATGTATCTTGTTTTCTGGCCGAGTGAATCTTTAAAATCGATTAGAAGCTATAATAGGTGGAAATGTTTAGGTTTGTGAGTGAGTGAGTGTGTGTAAGATTTCCCTAAACAAAATTCCCCTCCCCCGTCCCATTTTCGTCTCCTTGGACAGTGATTAACCAGTGAGTTATAGGTTCGCTGGTGTATTTTTTCTTTCTTTTCCCCTCTGGATAGTTCGAAACATTTAACAACAATGTTGTAGAGCGCAATGTAAAGCAAAGTGGCTAAAAGTGTATTTAAAAAAGGTGAGGTGTGTGTGTGTATGTATGAACTTAGCCACACGACGTTTGTGTGTGTACATGTTACAGGTATGTGTTAGGTGTTTTTGGTCCATGACCGTCCGTTCCCACCACCTACCATTAACCATTATTTATCTATTGATGATAATAACAATGCTGATGATGATAATGATAATCACTGTTCAGTGAAGCTATTAGAGGCCTAAATCAATATGTATAGACACGCGCCAATAAATGAGCATTATTTTCCCCTCCCGCACACTACCTTTCCACATCGATATTTCTCTCATCGTATTTATTCTATTAGGTCTTGTATAGAGACATATCCTCCTCCTCCTCCTCAAATAGTATATTTTTGGCAGGGTAATTTTCGAATCATGTTAAATATCCTGTCATTTAGGGAAGTCACCCCTCTTCTCTCTTCTATAAAAGAGCCTAAGCTTCTCTGTACAAGATCTTCTCTAAATATAAAAATTAGTCTTCTCTAGAAGAGCTGCTATTCTACTTTGAAAATAATTAAATTTCCAAAAGTGAATCCCCCTGAAATAGTATATTTTTGGCAGGGTAATTTTGGAATCAGGTTAAACATCCTGTCATATAGGGAAGAGACCCCTCTTCTCTCTTCTATAAAAGAGCCTAATCTTCTCTATATACAAGATCTTCTCTAAATATAAAATTATTCTTCTCAATCTCAAGAAGAGCTGTTATTCCACCTTGAAAATAATTTAATTTGCAAAAGTGAATCCTCCTCGAATAGTATATTTTTGGCAGGGTAATTTTCGAATCAAATTAAATGTCCTAGCATTTAGGGAAGAGATCCCTCTTCTATCTTCTATAAAAGAGCCTAATCTTCTCTATACAAGATCTTCTCTAAATATAAAAATTATTCTTCACAAGATAAAAAAAAAATTCTTCCTCTCTAAAATACCCTAATCTTCTCAATACAAGATCTCCTCTAAATGTAAAAATTATTCTTCTCAACCTCTGGAAGAGCTTCAATTCCACCTTGAAAAGAATTTCGTTTTTTGTTTTTTTGGTTATAATATTTTTATTAAATTCTATTCCAGATAGATTTAAATATTTATTTGCCTTGTGGCAAAATATGTAAATCTCTTACATTACATTCCGGTAACAAAATAATACGCTTACAATCTGTCTTAAATCCGCACAAAATTGATATTTCAAATCAAATCATAAATGTGTGTTAAAATCAATATTTGCAAAAAACAAAGAGTGACAGCTTTCTCCCTGGAACTAAGTGAAAATTGTAAAAACTATGATGAGAATCAATCAAAGATTTGGAATAATTTCGAAGATGAGAAGATTTATCATTCTGAGTTGAAACCGTTTATAAGGAGACCTCATCTTCTCGAAATCCAAAAGTCCCGAAAAAAGTTATGCTATATGTTTTACTAGCGGTTATGAGGACTATCGCTTATAGGCGCTATATTCTCAGCGGTCCATTGATCGTATTTTTAAAGGATTTCTTCTATTTTTAAATAAATTAAAGACTCAAAATTTTCTCACCCTTTTTCTCTCTTCGATTTAAAGTCAAAATAATGTATCCGAAAAAAATGCAAAAAAAAAATAGTTCCCCTGCACTAGTTCCCCTAAACAAGTGACAATTTTCTAAGAAGAGAAAATTAACCATTCTGAGTTGAAACCGTTTATACTGACACCCCATCTTCTCGAAATCCACAAAAGGTCTCGAAAAAAGTGTTGCTATATGTTTTACTATCGCTTATAGCCGCTATATTTTCAGCGGTCCATTGATCGTCTTTTTAAACGATTTCTTCTTTTTTAAATAAAAAAATAATTAGAGACTCAAAATTGTCTCACCCTCTTTCCCTCATCGATTTAAAGTCAAAATTATGTATCCGAAAAAAAATTAAAAAAAAATCTAGTTCCCCTGCACTAGTTCCCTTATCCAAGTGACAATTTTCTAATAATTTTATTCATGTGCATTCAAGCCTGTAAATTGAGCAAACAAACATATTTCTTCCTTCTAGCGCCTCCGCATTCTTCTCCACCACCACTACCCTCCCAGCCTAACCCAATTGTATGCGAGGGAGGAAATTAAATGCCAATAACATTTTTTTCACAGATTTTGTAAATGCCTCTTTTTTTGTTGTTGCTGTTGCTTCTCCTGTTACCAAGGAAATAGTTGAACAGACTAAATAACCTAACCTTATACAAGGCAACAATGTCGACAAAAAAAGGAGCAGTTGAGGGCGGGGAACCGTAACAGTTTTATTAAATAATAGAATAATGGGCACTAGAGCAGCACATCAATGATGTCAGATTGAAAGAGAAATGATAAAAAGAAAAACTTTTGGATTTAAGGAACATCAAAGTGATTGTCATATCAGATGATAGACACAATGGAAATGTGGATTAAGGACATGAAATGATGCGGGGAATTATTTTTTGGGGAAGGAGAATTTTTATTTGTTGCTTGTGATTATTTTCAGCAATTGTTGGTGACAGTTTTTTTGCGTGGAATTTTAAATTGGAACTTGTAATGGATTTTAAAATAAAATTAAAAATTGAATTATGTTTATGATTTTTCGACCTTTAAATTAAAGTTCACTCAATTTTTTGTGAAAGATGTCGGTGTATTTTTTATTGAATTTCTGGTATGAAAATTTAAAAAAATAATTAGAACCGAAAATTCAATTCCTTTCTGCGAATATAGAGACAAATTTAATTAAATTTGTTCTGAAACTTCTGAGTCTAATTTAGAAGAGAAGTCTTCGAATAATAAGGGAAATAAATTCCATATATAAATTCGATTGATGAAATTTAAATTTCAAGATTTTTTCTCACTCTCTCTGTTCGATTTAAAGGCAAGATTTGTTTTTTGGAAAATATATAAGAAAACATTTTCATTCATTTTAATAATAAATAAAAACCGAATATTTGAACTTAAGTACAATTTCGATAATTAAATTGTCAACATTTGTATTGATTTAAAAAACAACTATTTTTTTCTGTATTGATACTCTCAATATTTACTCTCGATGCAGATCAAACATAATTATATTTCTATTTTGGTGACAATAAATATATCTTTAACATGTAATTATAATTATAAAGAATGTATGGTCTTTAATTATGCTAATTATTATTTTTTTATTTATAAATTTAATCCCAAAATTACCTTGAAAATACTTCCTGCAAGAAGATTTCAAAACGATACCGCAAAAACTAAAATATTTTACAGAGACCCCAAACAATTTTTTAAAAACATTTTTATTTATGATTTTAATCTCCGATTTAATGATATGACAATTTTTTTAACGATTAAAAAAATCACTTACTTTGTTTATTTTTTTTCTGAGCGATTTTTTCCTACAAGACCACATGACATTTTTTTATTTATTTTTACTGTTTTATGTTCAATAATTAAAAATTTTTAATAGTTTGTAAATTGTTTTTTTTATTCATTCCATTAATAATTGTAATTTTTTTTTTTTATTTTACAGAAATCGAAGCTGTTGAAGCCTGCAAATGGCTCAGAGCTGCTGGCTTTCCTCAATATGCTCAGATGTATGAAGGTAAGTGTCATGATTAAAATTTAATATTATAATAAGGTTGTTAAATTTTCTAGGCGCATTGACCTTCCACTGAGAAGAAGAAGGAAACCTGTTTTATAAAAATAAAAAAATATATTTTAAAATGCTTAACCAATTATGAATGAAAAATTGTTTGGGTAAAGTGTCGAAATGATTATTTATTTTTTTTGCCTAGGTCAGAAATATGTATAGGAATCCTCATTTGATTTTATACAGCTTTTTTTGTTGTTATTAAAAAATTAAAAAAAAATCCACGTTGGGCGCCAATATACTTTTCTTATTAACATAAAATCCCGAATCCTAATTTTATTATTTTTTAATTATATTTTTTTATAAATTTTTACATTTATATTTTATCAAATAATTAGAAAATTTTCACGTTGGGCGTCAATATATTCTTCATATTTAAAATCCCCGTTGGGCGCTAATATATTCTTCTTATTTTTCTAAAATTCCAAATTCAGATTATTCATTTTTTTTATGTCAGAATATTTAATCAAATAATTCGAACAATTCCACGTTGGGCGCCAATATATTCTTCTTATTTATTAAAAATCCATGTTAGGCGCCAATATATTCTTCTTATTTTTCTAAAATTCCAAATTCTGATTATTCATTATTTTTTAAATTTTTATTTTCTCAAATAATTAAAAAATATTCTTCTTATTTATTTAAAATCCACGTTGGGCGCCTATATATTCTTCTTATTTTTTTTTTAATTCCAAATTATGATTATTCATTGTTTTTTTTTTGTCAGAATATTTAATCAAATAATTCGAAAAATTCCACGTTGGGCGCCAATATATTCTTCTTATTTATTAAAAATCCATGTTAGGCGCCAATATATTCTTCTTATTTTTCTAAAATTCCATATTCTGATTATTCATTATTTTTTTTTAATTTTTTATTTTCTAAACTAATTTAAAATAATCCACGTTGGGCGCCAATATATTATTCTTACTTATTTAAAATACCGTATCCAAAATATCCACTTATATATTTATATGTATAATTATTATTCTTAATTATTTTCAGTAGACACCTTGGGCGCCATTTAATTGATCGAAAGTTTTGCATAAAATAAGTGCAAGAACATTTTAACAAGTTAATTCAATTTCTGACAAATTGATTTCTAAAATCATTCTTTAAAAATTCTGCATACAAAAAATTTTCGGTATACCGTCGATTTTTTTAAATTTATTTTTATACGACATTTTTTCTTTTTTTTTAAATTGAGAAATTCCAGGTTGGCCGCCAGCATATATTTTCCTTATTTACTTAAAATCTCGAATTCTGATTTTTTTGTTAATTATTTTTTTTTTTCATTTTTACATTATCAAATAAGTTTAAAAATTTCCACGTTGGGCGCCAACATAATTTTCTTATTTATTTAAAATCCCGAATCCTTATTATTCATTATTTTTTTCATTTTTTTTTTAGTTCTATGATATTTTTTAATTTTTTATAATATCAAATAATTTGAAAATATCCACGTTGGGCACCATAATATATTTTTCATATTTATTTAATATCCCAAATCCTGATTGTGGGTATGCCGATTTGGATTTTATTTTTTGCCAATTGATTTTCAGGTTGGGCGCCAAACCCTTTTTTAAATCCCGAATTTTGAATATTTATTAGATTTTTTATTTTTATATTATTAAATAATTTGAAAATGTCCACGTTGGGCGCCAATATATTTTCTTATCTATTTAAAAGCTTATTATTATTTTTTTTTAATTATTTTCATTACACATATTAGCCGACTTTTAATTGATCCATGTCATTATCATTAAATGGCGCCCAAATGGAAAGTTTTGAAAAAAATTAACGCAAGAGCATTTTTACGAGTTGATTTTTGACAAATTGATTTTTTGAAATCGCTGCAGTCGTAGACAAAACAACACATGGATGTACGTCTAATCCTAAAAAGAGAAAAATGTGACATATTTCCCATATAGATGCCAAATTATGACAGGCAATACTTAGTGTAGTAGTCATCGTACGTTGGGCGCCAATATATTTTCTTATCTATTTAAAAGCTTATTATTATTTTTTTTTAATTATTTTCATTACACATATTAGCCGACTTTTAATTGATCCATGTCATTATCATTAAATGGCGCCCAAATGGAAAGTTTTGAAAAAAATTAACGCAAGAGCATTTTTACGAGTTGATTTTTGACAAATTGATTTTTTGAAATCGCTGCAGTCGTAGACAAACAAAACAACACATGGATGTACGTCTAATCCTAAAAAGAGAAAAATGTGACATATTTCCCATATAGATGCCAAATTATGACAGGCAATACTTAGTGTAGTAGTCATCGTATGCTCTTTGAAAAAAATATAATTCTAAAAAGTTTTATCAAAAATCCACATGGAACGCCTATTGGCCACTAACAAAAATAATTGGTCTGAAAAGTGTTAGGCTGCGGAAAAATGTTGTGAAAAATCATTGCACGAAAATGTTCACAAATTAAATTCACCTTTTTAGGAAACTTTGTTTTTAAACTCATTATAAACAACACAGCACTTGCTGGTACGTCATACGGTATTGAGTATGTTTTTGCTATTAAAAAATTCAAATTTTCCCGTGGAAATGTCAGATGGTGTCAGGCAACAATTTGAGGTCACTCAAGTCACTCTAAAAAACACAACACATGATTGTACGTCAAGCCGAACTGTAGGTTTCTGCTAAAAAAATGCCAACGTCTGCTAATACTTAGTATTTGACCCCTGATCCTCGTCTGGATTTGTTAAAAAAAATAACATTAATTGGGAAAACCTAGACCATAAATACCTGGCCTGAGACCAGGAACGTATACAGGATTTCATTTACTGTGAAAAAAATTTCATTTCGGGGGCCGGACCCCAGGGCTCCCCCTTTGGCTACGTCGCCGCCTGAGACTAGTGCAATTAGTTTGTGGGGAGTTTTTCTTTATTGTTTATATATTTTTTTAATAAAACCAAAGTACTTTTTTTAAATCAAAATTAATAAATAATCATACATTTTCCTAAATTATTTTAGTTGTTGTACCTTCACGAAAAAACCCCTTCGCAGATTTGCTTTAACGTAATAAAAATTCCGTTCAGTTATATCAAATCCCCAAAGGGAATTGCCTTCGATATGACCAAAAAAAAAATTTGGTAAACGAAATGAATAAAAAGAGGTAAACAACTACCGATCATCTGAGATTTATTGGAACCTGTTGTCGTTGTAATACACCTTGGGGAAATCAAATGATTTATAAACTACCCAAAACAAAACGAATTTAATACATTTCAATTTTAATTTCATTTTTTTGATTGTCAAGCCAAGCCTCCTCCTCTTCATACTTTGTGATGTGTTGTTTGCCTGAGAAAACTTTTGGGTATAGATATGTGAAACCGGCAAAGAACTCCGACACAATGTAAAACATTTTGTTGTTGTTTTGTGGAAGGTGGTCGGTTTTAGGTGATGTGGTCTTCAAAGGGTTTTTGGTATTGTTTCAGTTTTTTTTTTTCTTTGCAAACAAGACCACAAATGGCATATGGCTACACCACAAACACATACACACTCTCAGTGTGTTTGCTAATTGATGGCCAAGTTTGTTTTTTTTATTATTGGACCAACTGAATGACAAAGTGATTGGCTGCCACAGTGACTTGTTTCAAAAAGATGAAAATGAAAAAAAAAACAAGAAACACGAAAGGTAATTTTTCTGATGTTTTCATGTGGGTTTTTTTGTTCGACCACCCGAAAATTGGACAATGTCATAAAAAGGGGACAGCTTATGATATTTGACACAGTTGCAGATTTTTTTTACTTTGAAGACATCTGCTGTCGTACTTTCACTTTCAGTCAACTAAATCATTTGTTGCCAAAGTAATTTTTTTCTCCGGTTAAATGGTTCTGTGAAGGTTGGATGTTCGCCTTCTTTGGTTTTTTTTTTCGATCCCTTAAGGTGTTTAAGTTTAACAAAGCGTTGCAGGATTTATTTAATTCCCTACCAAATAAAAATATTATAAATTTTTATTGGCCACTTTTTCTTATGGCAGGCCATAATTATAACTTGATTAGTTATGTGAACTCATATATATTTGAGTTTGTATTCAATATAAAGCAGAATTCAACGAAATATATTTAAACATTCACTTTTGTTATCCCCCAAAATTTTGTAGGTGTTAATTTTGTGTACCAACCCTCTTTTTATAATATCTGTCAGATTTTGTTTTTCAATACATTTTTAATTATAGCCTTAACCTAATTTATTGTTAATAATATTTTATTTTCTACCCCGCCATATTTTGTTTTCTTACGTCAGTTATAATTATTGATATTGAATTGAATTTTTTCAAATTATGATATTGATTATTTGGAAAAAGTCACGCTTCACTTTAGCTTTGATTGTGTCATCGTCCAACGTCAAACGTTCTGCCATGGTCTTGGCAGGCCATTTTTAATGCAATTTGATAATTTCATAATACGTTCGAAATCTCAAGGAAAATTAATTCAAAATTTAAATTTTGATTTTTCAGACATGAAAATAAATCCACGTTTTTTTTTAATTTTAAAGGTGTGTCGGATATTATACAAAAAAGTTCGCTAACACATATACATATGAACCCTGTCGACCTTATGAAAACTCTTCCTAATTTCTCAAAAATATTCTTAATCAACATTTCGTATTTTTGTTTGCGGAATTTCAAAGACTAAAAATCTCCACTGCATCTTGTTAATGCTTCAACCAGCATTATAATTACCTGAAATATTTCTTCGTCAGCCAAAAACAAAGAAACCGATGACAGTTGTATTTTTTCGCAAAAAGCTCAGATAGGTTGCCTGATTTAAGTTTCCTTTATGTTTTGTCATTAGTCTTCCTGAGATGAAAGTCAAGAAGCCGTTGGGAAGTAAAAAAGATTATGTTACATAACATTGTTTTGGTTTTCTGCAGAACAAAGAGGTTAATTTTTTTTCGGAGCACAACAAAAATATACCA